GCTTCTTAAACTTACTTCTTTGGTGCATATCCCATACCAAAGAAGGGCCTTGCATCACCTGCCAGCTGGCTCACTGAGAGAGAGAGACCTGTACGAGCTCTGTGAGGAGCAGTTGACTGCCAGACAGAAGAGTCACCCTCCCTGTCAGGGAATCACTAAATCCCACTGAAATGCAGTTGCTTCTGGGAGGGAAAAAGGACAAGTATTGATTACCACCAAGGAAGAAGACATATAGGCAGGGAAAAAATTTAAAACTCCTTCCTTAGTGTGAATTAACTACACCATTGTCAGAGCTGGAATTTATCCACAACATCAAAGTTAATACCTCTGGCAGGTGGAAAAGGTCGGAATAGGCACGGCAAATCTTCTTGCTTAGCCAAAGCCTTATTTCAATTCATCTTCATAGACAGCACTGATGTTTTTTAGCCTTGGTGGTGTCAAAGAACTCCTGCCTCACACTACAGTGGAGAGGTAGATCAGATCTTTCTGCACCTTGAGCACAATGATGGCACGAGGACCTGGCCCATCTGCATTGCCTTTTGATGTCCCAAAGGACTTCTTGAAGAATATTATCTGAAAACTTACATCAGAAGCATGATTTCTTCTGCCACTTCTTTTGCTTTTCACATGCAGATTTATATGCCAAAGCAAAATAAATCCTGCTACTTAAACTGAAAGCCTGTGCAAAACAAGAGCTGACTGCAACAACTTGATAAATGCTCCAGTTCAAGGCTGCTCCAATTCCTACCCTGGACCTGAGCACAAGACTGGCAGTGGGACCAGCGAGGCCCTGGGACACCCACAGCTCCCTGGGTGGCACCGCCTGCCCCAAAGCTGCGCTATCGTCCCTCCGAACCTGGGAGGCGTTGGCACAGTCAGATGTGACTGTCATGTGCTGCTTTGCCTACAAGATCATTGCACTTTACAGGAACCAGCTATTTCTCTTCTGCTGACTCATCTGCAGGCAATACTACTAAACTTTGCACTCTGCCAGCTGTCTGCAGAGAATTGCCTTGACACATGGACAGCATGTAAGCGGGAGCCTTAGGGGAAAAAGAAGAAGTCCTGTCACTTCAGATAATACCCTTGCCAGGCTATAAAGTACCAAAGAGTCCCTGTATTCCTCCACATTCCTCAGTCACGGGTCAAAGAGAATCCTTTTCCCCCTGTTCTTCCCTACTTCCAATGCCCAGTTTACAAGTAACCTTACTGGCATGTACTCCTGTAGAGATCTGTTGTAGACAGAAAGACTTGGAAGAGGCTAATGGCAAAAGACTCATCATGGATCTCTTTTCAATCAGTGTTTAAAAATCTTACCCAATCTCCAAGGCAACTTCATGCCCTGCCCAGGCTTGCCATGCCCACCTCTGTCCCAGTCTCCAGACTCAGAGCATCTGCCTGGAAACAGAGTGCTGCTGGCTGTGACCCAGCCTGTTCACCTCCAGAGATACTGTGATGCTCCTCACAGTCAGCATCTGCTCTATCTACGTGGTCTAAGTCCTTGAGACCCTTGCAAAGGTTACTGCAGGATCTGGCAGAGTCCTGTCTACACGTAGAAGAGTCTGCTTCAGCTTCTCTGGATAAAAAACAGCAGCTATCCTGCAGCATATTCACAGACATGTGAACGTATAAAAGGGATTCCAGTTCAGCCGGCGCCACACATTAGTCCAACAGCATCCAGACTTTTAATACACCAGCTAAAACAACCTCCCAGGCCTTGCCTCCCCTACTGATCTAGGCAGGCTGATAGCATTTTCTTGAGCAGAGCCTGAGAACGAACAAGCTCTGGTACCTGTATCCTGCAATAAATAAAAAGATGCTGCTTCTCACCAACTAAGTCCCCAATGGCTTAAGACAATTCTCCATAACACCACCACAACTGAAAAGAGTGCAGTGTGATCACCTTGGCAGTGCTGTGAACTAATACACACATAAAAAAGAAAAACTGCCTGCATGACCTTCTCTGTGAATTCACGGCCCTTCTGGGTATACCATAACCCTAAGGCACTGAGTGTCCCACCATGCAACAGTCTCTGCTGTGGGTAGTGAAGCAGAAGATGTAGGGTTTATGCAGAGTATCAGAGGTCTGGAGCCTGCCCTGGGACAATAAATTATGAGAATGGGTGGTCATTCTGTCCCAGCTTCTCCACTGTGTTTTGTTTTTAGGACTTAACCACAGAGCTTTTTGAGATTTCAGGTGTAAACTTCCTTTCACAGTTTTACACATCAATACCAATTCCTTGCTGCAAGTTACTGTTTGTAGATCTTTCCACAGTGATTTCAAGACAGTTACATCCAAGTCAGATCTTGGAGCAAGAAACTTCCAAGTCATGAATTTTAATAGTTAGGTATATACAGCGAATTCCTTCAGGAAATAAAGCATAGGTACTTGTCATCTGAATTTCAGAAGGAAATACCACGGCTGTCCTCAGGCCCAGGAGTCCTGCACATGGAAACTCAGTGGTACGTGTTCCTGACCACCCCAGCCCTTGCCAGCTGCTCACCACGGTCCTGGTTGCTGCAGCAGCACAGGGTGGGGACACAGGGAAGGCCACCTGCAGCATCCTGCACCTCCCTCCACAGCCAGCGAGGGCTACCTAGGAGCATCGCAGCTCTCAGAATTCCTGAGGGCTTTAAAGTCTAAGTACAAACCCATTAATGAGCGCAGCCAGGGCTTTGGTGGACACCAAAAGCGGGTTAGAAAGGACGTGTGCCTGCGAAGCAGCTGGGTCACACCTTCCTTCGCCGCAGCCAGGGCCACCTCCTCATTGTCCTCTCTAGGCCGTGACTGTGTCCTCTAGGTCGGGGCACGTTCCCCAAAGCCCTCCTGCTCCAAACCCTGCGGGTGTACTCCAAAAGTTTCCCACAGCGTCTGCTGCTGCCTCCTCTCAGCCATCCCCGAGGAGCAGCCCCGAGGATCACGCCCGAGCCCCAGCCCCTGCCCAAGCCCCCACGAAGCCTGGCACCGCGACCACCCCAGCAGACACTGCCCTCTTGCCCAAAGCCAGTGCCCCATGTCCCGGCCGACCAGCACCTCCCGCCTGTGCCACGGCCACCCCGCGGGGAGAGCGGTCCGGGGCGGGACCCCTGAGCGGCTCCGCAGCGGTGCCCTCGTGTGTCGCCAACCCAAACCCGCGCCCCAATGACAGGCACCGCTCTGACCCTGCCCCTGTCCCTGCACCCACAGCCCCCCACACCCCCTTCAGTGCCAGCCCCCGCTCCCGCCGGACTCCCCCTTACCCGCGCTCCGCCGCCGCTCCGCCGCCCAGCCCAGCCCAGCCCAGCCCGGCCGGTCCGGCCCCGCCCCGCTCCCGCCGACGCCAACGGGGCGCGGGCGGAGCGTCGGCCACGGAACGACGGGAAGCGGCCGGCCCGGCCCCGGAAAGCCGCGTCCTGGGAAACCGCGCCTTGGAACCTCCGTTCCGGCTCGCGACGGCCCTCCGAGTCACAGAATATCCAGAGTTGGAAGGGGGCCACAAGGATCAGCCAAGTCCGTCTCCTGGCCGTGCACAGGGCAGCTCCAAGAATCACGTCATGTGCCTGAGAGCTCGCTCTTTCTCCAGGGAAAATACAGCATCCCTGTCCCATGCCGCAGCCAGTGGTGGTGAGGCTGAACGATCACGGATGCAAACCTTCTTACCTGCTTTGTACAGCACCTTTGTGAAGCAGCCATTAAAACCCTCCAAAACAGAGCAAGCTCAAGGTGAAAAATCGTGATTTAATAGCCACGACTTGATAAAAGCATCCAAATGAGCCTGAGGTCATATATGCCATCTCCTGGAAAATGTTGCTGTGGGGAGGGTTTCGCTGGTCCCCAGAACTCACACTCCTAGGCTGCACACAAACTAAGCAGTGCTGTCACATCTCTGGGCAGGTGCCTCTGGGTGACAGCCACAGGCAGCAGCAAAGTAATCAGGGAAGTCACCCTCCATCTCCCATCAGAGGAAAAGGAGAGGAAACCAATTTCAAACAAACATAATAGAGACCCAGCAGTGTGCTGTCTCTGGCACTGTAGCCCAAAGAGAGATTTTAGAAGATGCATCGTAATTTTTTACTTCCCTGACTTCCAAGAGCTGCACAGGGAGAGTGTGTTCTGCTCTACCAGTTGGTGAGGGTGGGATTCAGGGTTCACCTCACCCCCCTTCAGCACGCTAAAAGCCATTTCATGTCACTGGAATGGTTCAGCTGTGCTTGCTTGGTCAGCACACAGAGAACAGGCATCACCACAGAACAACTCATCCCACCTTCCGATGGGCATCCAAGATGCTCTTTGGTGGCACCCACTCTCTCAGGAACCAACGTGGTCCTCTAACTCTGGGGAAGATGAGAAGCTTTAGCACTCTTCTGCAGATTTACAGCAGCCTTTCTGATGCTGGAGTCCTAACAAATTTGATTGTAAACATCCACCCTTATATCCTAGAACAGAGAGGCAGAGACTGAGGAAGCACTGCAGTATCTGCTGAAGAGGGCAAGGCGCAACAATCGTTCACAACGTCCCTGGGTGCACCAAACCAAAGAGCAGTTACAGCAGGGAGAAGTTTTGGCAGTCTTGGGGTGTGCGGGCTGCTGGCCTGACCTAATGTCCTAAATACCTTGTCTTCCTATCAATTAATACCACCTCATGTGACACAGTTGGGACTCGTAGCCCAATTGTTACAGGAGTCACAGAAACAAATCTGGATAACCAGAATAAGAGGTCAGCTTTATGGGTTAGTTTACAAAGAATCATCAGAAAATGCTCATCTGAGTAGTGCAGACAAGCCATCCAGACGAGTGCACTTTGTAGAGTGGAAGAAAATATCACAGGAGAAGAAATATTAAATACATAGATTTATTATGTTTCTTTTCTTATAAATATTTAATTAATTTCATAAAAATGGAAGTAACAGAACCCTTTCAAGACACAAGTTTAGTTTGTCTTAGAAACAATACACTTTTAGGACAAAACCAACATACTACATAAAAAACAAAGGGCCATTTAAATAAAGGACATAATAATATTGTGCTTAAAGCTCTATTGATATCCACAAGGAAGAAGGAATGTTGTAGTGTGTAGACCAGGTGTAGGACGTGCTTTGTATAGCTGTTATTTTCTTAGGTACTACAGGAAGAACATGATGCTTTAGTGCACTTTAACAAAAAATACCCCAAAGCAAAGCTTCCTCCTCCAACTCTGTGCAATGTTTGCCACCTTCAATAGTAGAAGCAGCCAAATGCAGCTACCACACAAAACAAGCTGTCCTGGGGAAAACAGAGAAAGGGTCCGTGTTAGTCAAGGCTCTTTGCTAGCCTAGTGGAATGGGAAAACCTCAGGGAACGTTTAGATCAGAGCATAACCTTGCTTTGTAATATATAGCAACTTTCTGTCTTTTGTTCACCTCACTTTTGGTGTAACCCAGGTCAGTGCATCTGAATGCCAGAACTGCCTCACTTTCCTCCATCCACACTCCCACAGGTGTCTAGGTGCCAGTTAAAAATAAAAAAATAATGAAGTAAAACCTCGACTTCTACTCAGTCCTGGATTTCAGCCATGCTCCATGACTGCAGTTCAGAAAAGCACAGAGAAGACTTTGTGTCTTGTGCTTCCTCTCCCCACCTGTAAAATGGCATGACTATAATGACTTCTGTACCGTACTGTGTGACCTACTCAGGAGAGAAGTTTCACTATGTCAGATATTATATCTAAGTATGTTATGTGAATGAGGACATAAATCATACTGTTTCAATAGTCTTGGTTCATTCCTTCTACTGGTTGCGTTTTTTTCTGCTCCATATTTAAGGTCTCTCTGGCTCTCATACAAAAGCAAGTAGCCTTACCCTTCCCATGGGAATCCAGCTGGTACTTACATTCATGAACACATCGTGAGCACAGCTGTCAGTGTCGGCATCCCAGAAACATCGCGCGGCCATGCTAAACAAAGGAGCCAGAGCAGAGACGTTACCCAGAGTTCATGTGTGAGGACCTAAGTGATCACAGATACTTTCCTCAAAAACCAAACTGAGCTTTCTTTAAAGACAAAGGAATTGGGAAGCGTTCTCCTGAATCCCAAGCCTAAATCTCCACTGCTGAATACCACATGCTTTGATCCCCTCTGTATGTGGCTCAAGCTCCATCTTCAAGCTCATCACGTATCAACCCTGCTATCTCCACTGTGCAGCAGGGCTTGAACCTCATTGGTATGGTGTGTAAGAATCTTTGACTTCTGGCCTATGTGTATTGGTGACTGATTTAGCTTATTTGTCCTTGTCCTTCACCTTCTGCACCCTCATGGTACATACTCCCAACTTATTTATAGGAAGTGATCGTATTCCTTGGCAGACGCCGTGTTACTAGACCACGAGCTAAGCTCTTCTAGTCTTTTTGTATCTATACCTTCTGTTCCCTGAACATCCTGCTGGACTTCTACACCTTCCAAGCCTTACCCTGAGGACAAGTAACCGGACCATAACAGGGTATTACAGATGAGACCTCGCTGCTGTCTTGTCTGATGTCACTGACATTCCCCCTTCTTTGCTGCAAATGTCCCAGTCCCTGCCTGCCCCAGTCAGTCTCAGCTGATGGGATTCCTCTTTGTGGCACACCATGTTGTTCCCCGTCCCTACAGGTATGACTTACTGTTCTAAGATTGCTGAATTTAATCTCTCCTATTACCTTAGCCCTCAAGATTATCCTGATTTTTTGTTTTTTGCTGTACAGTATTCCACTCTGCCTCTGGAACACCCTGGTTACCCAGTATTTTGCCTTAAGGATGTTGGTGACCATTCATCAATATTGCCTCCTGTCTGTTGCAAACCAGAGAATTTCCCCACTGGCTGCTCTGTCAGCCTGTGTTGTTGGGCTTCACATTTCCACCTCACTGAACTGTTCACCCTGGTACGGTGCTTCTGGAGCAGTCTGCCTGCAGCTGGACATTCCTGACAAAAGCCTGAGCAGCAGGTACAAATATTTCTCTCTGACCCCCAAAACACTAAGGCAGCTCTGCTGCACTTATCTTCTGCTGGAGTACCAGGAACAATAATAAAGATAAGCCCGGCAGATAAAGCACATAAACCTTGTGGGCTGTTCTCTTTTGTCTTCTCCCTACCCAGTAGTAATAATGGAAAGCTACAGCCCACTACTGTATCCAAGAGGAATTCTTTTGTCTGACTGCAGGCATCTGGAGCTGACTGCAAGTGCTCAGCACCCACATGGGAATTTAGCTCGGTTCCCAGGACAGTAGTGCAGGGTGATTATTGATATTTAAACTTCTGAAAAATGCCTACCTGGGATGATTAAATGTAAATGAAGTGTTTATGGAAATCTGGCTTTAGACAGAAGTGAGTTACCATGGCTCTTTTGCTCCAGCAGGGCCTTGGGAACGGATAGAGTCTGTGCCCTAGTTCATCATGAATACAAAATAAAATGCTTCTGCAACACTCCTTACCAATGCTTCTCAGCATTTCGGGTTGCTAAGAACCACCACAGAGCCCATTATCACTGGCTAATTCAATCAGCCACAACCTAAGCCCTCAAGTGCCACTTAAAGAGAAAAGAAAGGGCTTTACACTTTATCATCTGCAGAGAGATCTTTGTACCTAGCAAAGCTGGAAGCAGCTTCCAAAGGAAAAAAACACACCCAAACCCAACAAACATGATAGAAAGACAATTAGAAAACTTACTTCACTCCTTCTCCTCTCTGTTCTCCAATCACAACCTGCACCACCATTTTGTACCTGTCATATCCCTCCTCTGGAGAGAGAGAAAAAAATAATAGTGAAAGCAACAATTTGTTTAAAATATGAGCCCAAAACAGGACCTTAAATGCTAAAGGTTTCTGGCTACAAAGTAAGTGTCCTCTACAAGTCCATGCAAGTAGCCAAGTGGACAGACTGCCTTGTGGCTTCATTTTCCTAGCATGGGAGTACCATGGTATTACTGGAGCTAAAGGGTGAACACAGTAGTTGGCCTCTATCAAAAGATGCATCTAAGGCAGAAGACACCCCTGAGCAGCCACACTATATTCTGCTTTGACAACTTTCAAGAGCTGACCACATGGAAAGAACATAAATAAGGCTGCTGTGGAAAAAAATGCAAATTGAAAAAAATTGCCTTATTTTAAAACTGTTCTGATGCAAAGATATTGTAGAGATTATTCTGCCATACAGGTGTTTCCTTTGCTTCTGAGTGGGATAAAAGGCCCCATAAAAGCATATGTGGGTCTGTGTTATGTGTCTGCAGAGATATGCAATAGTTTTACAATAGTAAAGAAACACCTCCAGGGCACAGACCAGATCCAATCAGGCCATGGCAATGTTCCAGAAGCCAAATCAGAACAAGCATGTTTAAAATCCAATATGGATCCTAATGCCTGTCTTCAACAAAGCAGTGTCCCAGGAAGACTCCGGCGCATTGTTTCCACTGGAGGATTGAACACAACAGGCTGGGTCTGTTATAACATCCACCACGTCAGTGCTTATCAGAGATACCAGCTGATACAGCAGCCACACGGGGCCAGCCTTGCTTCAGGCTGCTGCAACTGTGTTTACACATTACTACAGCCAAGCCCTGTGCATATGAGCTCGGCATCAACACGTGCTGGGCCTACAGCTGCTGCTGGCTTTAAAGCAGATGTGCAAATCTGGGAGAAGCATCCATCTGTGGCACTGCCGAGGGTGACAGTCCGGCCATGCCACTGCGTCAGGCCAGACCAGCAGATGGAGCACCAGCCTGCCCCAGGAGGAAAGCAAAAAAAAAAAGTGGCTGTGCCAGCACACACATCCATGTACTTGTCCCAGCACAGAACTCAGGAAACACCTGCTGGAGCTTGCAGTTTCCTTCTTGAACTCAAAAATATTGGAAGGTATTCTGTGCAGCATCACCACAACCTTCTTCCAGTGCTGTAAGGCTGTAGTCATACCCCTCCTTGTCTGACTGCTCCTTTCTCCCCCTTCCCTGTGCCCTCTGAGCCTTATTCTGATCTCCCTGCTATTCCACTCTGACACAACTCTGACCTAACTCGCAGCAGAAAAAAGGCAGGAATGGTTCTTTTTATGGAAGCAAGAAGCAATGAAGCATCACTTCTTTCTTCTCTCCAGTGCCGCTTCTTCAACTCTGCAGCCCCTCCTGACATCCCACACTAGCCAAGCTACACAAAAACAGATCCTGTCTGCTTGAATTAGATCTTCAGTTCCGCAGGCAAGGAATGTATATATAGGACAGATTGTTTCATAACAGTAGACTCGAGTCAGTCAACAGGGAAGGAATAGGTTTCAAGAATAAAATAGGAAAGAGAGATTTTGTCAAAAGGGAGATGACACGGTAAGAAGAGAAATTACTTCCCCAGCAGACCTCCTTACCTTTCAGTCTGTCTTTTATTGTCTCTGATAAGGACTTTGTAAGCTCAGGCATTTCCTCTGGGTTGTACTGTACATTGGCCAGCTTCTCCTTCAGTATCGCATGGATGCATTCTTTTACTGAGGACGATTTGAATCTATCAGGGGAAAAAAAGCAGCAACAGAAAGCCCCAAAAGTTCACACAACATGTAGAAACATACACAGCCCCACCTGGGAAAATGTAGCTTTCGCATACTTAAGAAAAAATGACAAATCAAAAACCACGGGGGAAAAAAACTCTGCTAAGACGGAGATACTTAACCAGCCCTGCCAAAAGCCAAACACCCATGAAAAGGTGTGAAAACAGCCTTCTTGGAAGTTGCCTCTCCAGCAGCATCCTCCACCCGAGCGCATGTCAAAGTTGGTCAGGGAGCCCAGTGCCCCCCATCTCCCAAACCCTCGGGGCTCCCCCATTCCCAACACACCCCCACAGCCCCTCCTGCCCAGGGAGCCCCTCCCCGACAGTCCCACCGCAGCTCCCACATCCCCAGGGCCAACCCCCCCCAGCCCAAGGCCCCCACCATCCCCTCTCCCTACTAAACCCCCCCCACACACACTTGGCTCACCGGTGCTGGAGGCCGGGCCGAAGGCTGTAGGTGTTGCCGGCCCCATCGTCCGGGCCCAGCTCGCCCATGGCCGCGGCCCCCGCAGCCTTCCCGGCGTTGGGTTACCGGGACAACCCCCGCCGCTTCCGCCGCTCCCAGCGCCCGCCCCCGCCGCGTCAGCGCCGCGTCACCGCCGTGGGGGGAGCGCGATCGGGGGATGCGGAGTCACCGACCGGGGAGTGTTTCCTACCCTTGTTAAAAAAAAAAAAAAGGCAACAAAACCAAAAAAAACCCAAACAACAACCACCACCCCCCAAAAAAAAAACCCCAAAAACCCAAAACCCCCCCCCAAAAAAAAAACCCCAAAAACCCAAAACCCCCACAAACCGAAAACCCCAATAATTATTTTTACTAATTTTTGCGATTAAAAAACTTGCCCAATAACGTAATTGGTAAATAAATGGTAAATAACTGCTGTGATGATTGTAAACTATTTTAATAGTTGTATTAATGGTAAAATTTTGTTGTGGAAGACACTGAGGTCCCGCACTGAGCAGCAGCTGAGGGCAGTGGGGGTGTTCTGCCTGGAGAAGAGGAGGCTCAGAGGTGACCTTATTGTTCTCTACAACTCCCTGAGAGGAGGTTGTAGACAGGTGGGGGTCAAGCTCTTCTCTCAGGCAACTAGTGACAGGGTGAGAGGACATAGTCTTAAGCTGTGCCAGGGGAGGTTTAGGTTGGACATTAGGAGGAATTTCTTCACAGAAAGGGTGATTAAAGTTTGGAATGGGCTGCCCAGAGAGGTGATGGAGTCACTATCTCTGCAAGTGTTTAAGGAAAGACTGGTCGTGGCACTTAGTGCTGTGATCTAGTTGTCATGGTGGTGTTTGGTCATAGGTTGGACTTGATGATCTCAGAGGTCTTTTCCAACCTAAATGAGTCTGTGATTCTGTAAATGAAGTGTTTGATGAGGCTGCTGCCTGGGGTGAGGCAGGAGGTCTGATAGAGAGAGAATGAGGTAAGATGGCCTGGCCTCTCTGGGTGCTTCCCTGATGCCCCCATCCTGCCCCAAATCAGCAGCTGCAGCCCCTGTGTGCACCCTCACCCAGGACTCAGTGGGCTGGAGCAGCTGTGGGTGCCAGCAGGGCAGAGGGGTCCCTGTGCCCAGAGACATGCCTGCTGGATCCTGGCCTCAGCTGGATGGTGTCCCAGCCCCAGGAGCCTTGCTGGGAGGGCCTGGATGCTGAGGGACAGTGGGTGCAGATGGAGGAGAACATAGCCTGGTGTCCTAGTTAGGACAGCTGAGATCAGTTCATCACGGTATGGGTATAACCCAAAACTGTGTATTCTATAGCCTTCCATGCCATTACCCAGAAACTGTTGTCAATAGACTATTCACACCCTCTGCCCATAGAGCCTGACTCCTCAGGCTATAAACTAGGTGTTAAGAGGCCTGTGAGATAAGAGGATGCTCTTGTCCTCACACCCTTTATGGAAGTCCCCGCTCTGAGCCTTTTATGGAAGTCCCTGCTCTGAGCCTTTATGGAACTCCCCGCTCTGAGGGAAAGATTGACCATCTCTGCCTGAACTGGAGAATATATAAACCTAGAGTTTCAGAACTTTTGCAACCACTCGTGGGATCCAGAAGAAGGCTGCAGTTCATCGCTCTCAACCTCAGCTGGACTACAATCACCGCTTCTGACCAGACTGCAACAGCTCTCCCACCAGCAGGTTTTTTTTTCCCCTCTCCCTTTACTTTGGACTCAAGCGGGACCCAGGGAACACCGCTTTGTCCATGCCCCAGGGTACCGGGTTGTACATGTGGGTTTTGTGGGTTAGGACCAATTGTTTGTTTGTGTGATTGTGCTTGCTGTGTTGTTTTAATAAATTGTTATTCTGACTTGTGGTCTCTCCTTTGAGTTGAGTTCATTTCCCCTGCTGGTTGACTCTTAAACCAGCACACCTGGACTCCTTGCCTTTGCAAAGCCTGTTCCCCTGATTTTTGCCTGTGTGTTGCTGCCAGGCCTTGTACTCTCTTCCTGCCTCTGGGCCACGCATCCCAGCCATCAGGGAGAAGGTCCCAGCCTTGCTCCTTTCCTCCAGGAAGTTCTTAAATCCTCCAGAAAGGCCTAAAATTCTTGCTCCCCAATATCCTTCCCCTATTATAGCCCGGTGCTCTTTTCCCTGCCTGCAGCTGCTGTCTGTCCCAAGGAAGGCCGCATGTGGCGCAGCCCCTCCTGCGCTGACATTCTGCTTACCCCACAGTTTATCTCGATGCAGCGATCTCCACGATCCTTCCTGCGTACAGTGAGTGACGCGGCTGAGAAAGGTCCCTGTGCGCTTCACCCAGCTCCGAATGGAAATAGTGTGAAGTCACAGCCAGTGCCGATGCAAAGCGTGCTGCTGCCAGGATTGAGGTGCTGGAGGGGGCCATCACTTGTGACAGGGATGGGAATGACTGGAGGTGCCCCTTGGGTACAAGAGGTGCACTGGGAGGCAGAGGGTACAGCTGCTGCAGTTTTGCTTGGGATGCACAGGCATATCCCAACTGGTGCCAGGTCCTGCCCCAAACTGGTCTGAGCACAGATGGGTTGATGGGATCCTGAACAGCAGCAGCTCCTGATTTCTACAGACTTTAGCAGCACCACTTGCTAGAGGTGGACCGTCAGAGTCCTTAGTACCACCAGGCTCTGCCCGCTAGTAGGGTCAGCACCTCACTGCCATGCTGAAGGTGATGGTGGCCCCATGCCATACCCTTGTGGCACCTTCCCATCACAGTTACCATTGCTCTGCCCAGGCCCTGCAGGTTTCCGCTTGCTAAAGGAACATTTTCGTGCCTCTGTTCCATCCCTCCGCTTACGCACTGCCTGCTGCTGCTTACTCACACCCACGGGCTGCTGCCTGTCCCCACAGGGTCAGATGCTGTTCCTCATGCAAATAATTTGCAGAGACCTTCCTAATTTCCAAGAAGTATCTAAAAGACCTCAACACTCTTCCGTGTTTATCTGCAAACACTATTAACCGTTTCCTCTTCTTGCCCAAGCCATTCATCTCCCGCCTGGGTCAGACCCACAGATGTGAATTCAGTTAAACTGTTGGGGGAAGGATCTTTGGAACCTGTGGGTTTCTCTTCCTGAGCATCTTTTTGGGGTAACTTGTGTTCCTCATTTCATTTGGGAAGCTTTACTTTCCCTGAACTTCAAAGTCATTTAGCTCTGGACTCCAGTCAGCTCATCTGTGGTGTTTGATCACAGCTTTCTTTTTCATCTTCCAAATTTTCAGTGCTCCTTAAATACCCCAGATACTTGTAAGCCATATTGGGTCTGACCCTCTACCCTTTGACTCTGGTGATAGCTGTGTGCCCTGACAGTGATGGCTGCAGGAGACTAGAACCTCCTCTGTGTCCCAGCTGCATTGGTGGGACTCTCACCGGCTCAGTGGGCCACCTTCTTGTTGGGGAAAAAAAGGACATTTGTGCTCCTATGAAGTGGTGTGATGTGCTTGCTGAAGTTACTCCCTCTCAGTTTTAAAGAACAAGCTGTTTTCTCACTTGTTCCTCTTTCTCCTTCCTTTTCAGACCTTCTTTTCCTCTTTTGGTGGCCAAATAGCAAAGGACTGTCCCGTGGAATTTACTATATTCAAGCTCACATAAAGTGACCCCTCAGCAAACCCCCAAGGTGTACCATCCCCCCATTGGGCTGGAGGGGATTTACTAGCATGACAGGGTGCAGCAGCATGGTTTGAGCCAGGCTGTTTTTCTTGGTGCTGGAGAAACTGGTGAAAGAGCCAGCAGGAGCTATGTTGGTCCGGCAGGGTGCTGGCAGGGTGCAAAGCCTTCCTGAAGCCTGGTGGCTGCTGTGGGACTGGGGCTGGGCTCCTCTATGATGCTGACAGCTGAGGCACATGCTGGGCTGGGGCACGGCACCGCTGCTCACCTCGCTTTCCTCCGCAGCGGCTTCCTAACAGCGAGATTGATCTTTTCTTTTATTCTTTTCATCACTTCTAGTTTTTTTTTCTCAGAAAAAAGGGCATCTAGCCATTGTTGGTTTCTCGTGGACGTGGCAGCCTCCCCGCCTCGGGTACCGGCTTACACCCATTTCAAGCGTGCATTGGAAAGTCTGAGCAATTCATGCTATGATTTTAATCAGAGCCCTCTGATGCTGCTGCACGGGGCAGGGAGGATGAGCCAGTTTTTCCTGCTGATCCCTGCCTTGAAAAGTCGTGATCTTGGCAGTGATACCCATCACATCTTCTGCCTTTAGAAATCAAAACATGTGGCAAGTGCCAAACAAGCCTTCCCCAACCTGGCCCAGATGCCTTGTGTCAGCATTTGGGGTCACAAAACCTCAAGGCAGAAAAGCCTCCTTGCTATGAGCTTCCATATTTCCTGAAGTTCATTTTAGTTTAGTTTAGTTAGGGTTTTTTGAGTGGGAATGCAGAAAATTGTGAAAGAAGAGGTGATGTCCACCTCAAAACCCACCTACACCCTTGCACATGGTGGAGAGCACTCCCTTTGCCACCCATCCAGGCAGCATGGTGGCCTCTGGCCAGGTGGCGTGGAGAGGTGACAAGGTAGGCACAGTTCCCAGCCTTGCTCTGCAGCCCAAGCAGGGCCAGCAGCTTATGAGAAAGGAATGGTGCTGCAGTGCCGGGAGGAGACTGGAAAAGAAGACCCAGGACAGGCTGGACTTAGCCACCCACCCAGGGTGAGCCCTGTCTGCCCCAGTTCAGAACCCCCTCCTTGGCCATCCCAATTTGACCATCACAGTAGTGTTAGGTTAATGGTTTGACTTGATGATCTTAGAGATCTTTCCAATCTTAACAATTCTATGATTCTATGAAGTTGGGGGTGGCTCCCCCAGCCCACTTGCCTGCCAGGGCCATGTTTGAAAGTGAGAGGTGAGCAAGCCCCAGCCCTGCAGCTCATTTCTGAAAGCCTGGAAAATAATGAAATCGTCATTAGAATCACATCCTTCACCCTAATTATTAATTTTCCCCTGATACTTTCCAAAATTGTGAGGCACTGAGGCTGTGTTTGAGAGAAGTGGAGAAGCTGCTTTCACCGCTGGTTATTTCCTATGCGAGTATTAGTCAGTGTGGTGAGTGGGGAACATCGATGGTGGAAAAACTACAGAAGTCTTCTGCAAATTTCACCC